CACCAAGTTGCATCTAGGGTTCATTTGCATTTCATTTGGAATGCATTTGCCTACTCCAAATGCAACCCTAGATGCCTCCCCTCCTATAAATACCCAACACCCCACCACTTGTAAATACTTTGGATTATATGATATTGAGTGAGCCTTTTGAGCCTCAAAATCCATCCTTAGTCACTAGCTAGTTTCGGCTAGCCTCCTCCTATCTCCACCCTTGGAGAATAGGAACCCTAGAGTGGCCTCCACCTATCATTGGAGTGAGCCAACCTTGTGAGCAACCATACACCAGCATTCCATAAAGCTTCCGCCCAACACTTCCTTTTTCACGCAAACCTCCCCCTTCTCCACCCTAAAATCTTCCTTGTGTCTTCCCTTTGGTGAACAAGATCAAGGGCAAGGACTTCCTCTCCTTACAATACGTTATTCATGGAAGGAGGAATCCATCAACCACCACTATGCCAAACTTGAAAAATGCACTTTTTGTTAAGAACAAGTAAATTTTTTGGGCTTCATAGTTGGCAAAGAAGAAGTACAAGTTGACTCCGATAAAATAAAGTCTATCCAAGAATGGCCCACCCCAAAGAGTGTTGGAGAAGTTAGAAGTTTTCATGGCTTAGCTAGCTTCTATAGGAGGTTTGTAAAACACTTCTCCACACTTGCATCCCCTAATGAGCTTGTTAAGAAGGATGTACCATTTCTTTGGGGTGAAGCTCAGGAAAAAGCTTTCAAAACCCTAAAAGAGAAACTTACCAATGCACCCATTCTAGCTCTCCCAAATTTTGACCAAACCTTTGAGCTAGAATGTGATGCATTCGGTCTTGGCATAGGTGTTGTGTTACTTCAAAGAGGCCACCCCATTGCCTACTTTAGTGAAAAACTCCATGGGGCCACCTTGAATTATCCCACCTATGACAAAGAACTCTATGCCCTTATAAGAGCTCTCCAAGTTTGGGAGCATTACTTAGTGACCAAAGAATTTGTTATACACACAAACCATGAGTCACTTAAGTATCTTAGAGGGCAAGGGAAGTTGAATAAAAGGCATGCAGCCACGTGTTATGGGTGTCGCTATGGCCCATAACGACACCCATGAAAACTACCCCAAAGGTGTAAAATGTTTCAAAACAGTCCCATTTTGATATTTTGTTTGTAAAAGTATACTACAATGGTCGTTTAACCTTAAGTATAGGGGTCTAATGGACCATTAAATATACTAATAACAAGAGAGATTATCTCATTTCACGTCCACTTTTATCTTCTCCATTTTATCCTTGAAAATTATACATAATTTCTAATAATGATACCAATTATAACAATAATTTTAATATTTTCTATCTTTTTTAACATAAACACGTAATACTTTTTTCTCATTAGTTAATATAATAAATTCTTTTTCTCTCTAGAATTTTATTTTTATTTTTATTTTTAATTCTTCAAATTTTCTCGATATAAAAATCAGTAAAACAAATGTCAGATTGTAATAACCGTTAGCATGTAGAGAGGGCAGCAGTTTGGTGTAGTTATTTTATTTATTTTTTATCATAATTCCCGACATATAATTGTTATAACTCACGGCGTTCTAAAATAATACTTAATTAACTTGAGAATGATTTTCCATAAAGTATTTAAAAAGTTTAAGAAAGACACAAATTTTGTCAAATTGATTTAGATTGAGGGTGGACAGGTTTAAATATTAATAATGGCCCTTTGAAAGAAAAACCATTTCTTTAATTTCCTGTTGAGTTTTTTTTTCTTTTTTAAAGAATAGCATTTTGATTTGTATAATATAAACATACACAATTTAGTTTTTATAATTATCTGTTTAATATTAGTCTATTTTTATGCATGTGAGATTTGGTCCTTACTCCTTACCTTCAGTTCTTATATACGTTTTTTTACACCCAGTTTTTATATGTTCTTCACTTAAGATTTGCCTATTCTTTTTAATTATGGATTTAATTAGTATTCCATCACAAATTATTATGTAAAATAAGTCTATTGGTTTTAAAATTTAATTTTAGAATTCATAAATATAATTTTTTACACCAACATTAAAAATTAAAATTTTTTATTTATTGTGATATTAGTCTTTATTTTTCTAAAAGGTCGATCTTCATAAGTTTAATTCATCTAGGTTGAAGTCTAAATTAAGAACAAGAAATGTTAGTTGCATGAACTTATTTAAATACAAGTTTATAAGTGTTTTTAAAAATTTATTTATTAAAAAGGACTTTTTAACACACTTTAAGTTTTTAGCTATATACTATAATTTATTAAGAAAGTATATTTTTTTAATTCAATTTTATTTTATAATATTTTATAATTTTAATCAATAATAAAATTGTACAAGAAATAGTATTTTTTCCTTATAATAAATATCTTTAATTCATTAAATCAGAAACTAATCTCATTTAAGATATTATGAATGACACTAATTTAATGCTTTTTTTTTTACATCAAATAAAGATAAACACGAGATTTTTGTCAAATAGATTATTTTCTTGTGTAAGATTGAAAGAGTATAGTTAATACTCCATAAATGATATTTATATATTTTATGCTAAAAATGGTAGATTTTTGGTGCAAAAATCTTGTAAAAGTGGCAATGAAAGGGAAATTGTTCACCCCCTGAAATTTGTTAACCAAGGTTAACTTTTTGGCTCTATATCGTATTCAAACAAAAAGAGAGCTCTTGCGAACCATGAGTGGAAATACTCAATTATTTGTTTGTGGGCCAGAATTGGTAAGATCAGCCTTTCGGTGCATAAGGGACCTGTCAATTCGATTTAGCATGAAACGTCACGTACCAGACATTCTTTCCCTCCATGTTTAATCATGCAACACCTTGCATAAACCGTCAGCCAATTTTCCTTTGATGCTGAAATCTATACCCATCAGTTTAAACTTCTCATGAATTATTTTAAAAAAATGACATCAAATAATTAATTATTTAAAATAGATTTTAATAACTTAAAAGCTTTTTGACAGAAATTTTGTGTTTAGGGGATATTAGCATTTGTCCTTAATTTCAACACCCCATTATCTCGTTTCCAGAAAATTTCTCAAAAAATTTGAAAAAAGAAACATAAGTTAACGTTATTTCTTGTGAAAAACTTGCATTTTTCATGAAAAGTAAAAGGAGAAGACGATGTAGCAAAAGGAAGGAGTGTAAGAGGAATCCGAAGTGTGGCTTTGCTACTAACACACACATTCTCCGTTAGTTTTGGGATCATTGGTGTGGAGAGTGCAGCACTGCTGAAACTCACCCCTTGGCAGTAGCAAACAGTGGTTGGCCTTTGAGTGGATTTTATACACAGGATTCTGGTACTGTGTGCTTGAGAGGTACTGCCCATACATCCCATTGGCGAGGCCATCATGCTGTGGATGGGTGTTGTCCACCTGTCCCCAAGGACCCACCTAGAAATTTCCCACTGATTACCAGCCAGATTATGTGTGTTATACGTATCTTCCTGGTTACAAAGAGTCTTGAGAGAGAGAAGTGCTAGTCTAGAGAAAGAAAATCCTTGAAAGAAAAATCAAAGCAAAGTTTAGTAGCCATTTGCCAGGTTATTATTATAATGAAAGATCTTCTTTTATCGTATCATTGTGATTACTGAGCGTGAAAAAAGTTAAGACCTAAAAATAATAATTTAATAAGTTGTAATTTTTAATAAATTTTAATCAATAAAACAAATTCTCAAAATGAATGTTAAATATTATAAAGTATGGCTACCATTTCTTTTACTAACAAATTAAAGATTCAGAGAGCTCGAAAGAAAATATTTTGGACCTAAATGTCCAAATCCGGATCTTCCATTGACCAAAACAAGGATTCACGCTTCCTAAACACACTCAATGATGGTAAGAATTAATTTAGGGTTCACATACAATGTTCTCAATCAAAAATATAGACCGAACGTACACTAATCAAGGAAACAAGAGATATCTTTTTTGTAGTGTACAAAGAACAATCAATATCAAATTACAATGTTTGTCTGTGATTTAGTACAAATGATCAACAAACTTATATCATGAAGGATGAACCTAAAAATCACAAGAATGCCCACAAAGGAATTACATCATTATCAAGAATTAGGAAACAATTATTAAATAAATGGGTTAGTTAACACGCCTCTACGATACTGACATGGCATGGTTTAATCAACTACGAAATTATCAGATATGATACGACTACAAATTCGAGTTTTGGTCACTACAATTCAATCTCTTCTTACATTGATTGGACAAAAATTCTTGGAAGAACTTGGCATGAGAATGTTGAATCGGTTAGTAGGAAATAATGAAGCATGTGGAGACAACAAATTGGGCTCCCCTCAGATGACATGATGTCTCTACTAGTCGATATTCAGCAAGTGAATCTCCGCATATTATGATTTAATTCACAAAAAATTATCTCTACCATTCTCATTTTTCATTTGATTCACTTTGCTAAGAGTCCCTCCTTATCATATTTAGCAAGTATAGGACGACCTCGGACATTGCTGGCCTAAATTCTGGCTCGGACTGCATTTACATACATTCAAGGCAAAAAATCAATTCCATGAAATAAAGATTCGTTATAGCTGGGATTTGAGTTCACACAGACAAAGAGTGTTACCTGAAGGCATCTAGAAATAATGTCTGCAAAATTTGACAATGATTTTGCCGGGTAATCTCCATTTAAAGAAGGATCAACCATTCTTGATAATGCATCAATATCATGAAGTTGGGGAACTGCCCATCTGACCAGAAATTGCTCCCCTCGTGGACGCGTCCTGTCCAATATGTTCCAAATAGTGAATTAACTGGAGAAAAAGCCAAAAGATTAGTGAAGTACTTAGCTTATTCTGTATTCTCACCTATCATGGGACTGACGACCAGTCATAAGTTCTAACATGATCACTCCAAAGCTGTACACATCACTTTGATACGTGTAAATTCCAGACTCAAATTCAGGAGCTCCATAGCCATAAGCAGTGAGAAGGTTCCCCGAGAGCTAACAATGCACAGAACATTAGCAGAATTATAATGCAAACTACATTGACATACTTATTTAATGATACACTGTTTAACAATTAATCTTCAACAACAGCATGAGGTGCATCAACCCAATAAAAAAAATTTCATTTCCCTCATTATGTTGAAAACAGCTTTTACAACAACAAATAATGTCTTACCTGACTGACAGATCCCGAAGCTATTAATGGAGCTAAACCGCAATCAGAGACTCGCACAGATAGATCATCATCAAGGAGAACATTGGCAGACTTCAAATTTCTATGTACTACAGGTGGCTGACATAGCTCGTGCAGATATCTTGTTAAAGGACAAGGAGTATTAGATTCAGAACCTTCAAATCTTGTATCTTTTAATATCTTAGAAGTAAAGAAAAAGGTTCCACCCCTCAACTTCCAATTATGTTTTTGCAAAAGCTTCATTTATTTGTCTAGAAAATCCTATAGCTCTCTAAAGAGACTGAACAAGAGATCTCTTATTGTTAGATAAATCAATATTTGGTCGCCACCGATAGCTTGTGCTTTTGGTTCAATTGGGGCTTGAAGTGGTGTTTAATTATTCATTATCTCTTTCATACAGAGAACAGAGCATAATGTATTTTGAATAACTGTAAGATCTACATCAAGAAGCATTGATATTTGAGGGTAAGCAACTAAACATGATGTTTTACCAATTTATACTTCACAAAATTCTAGTAAGGTTGGAACATGGTTACCTCATTAATGATCAAGTTTTCTCAAAAATACTTTAAGCATCAAACGAATTCATTGAGGAAAATTGAAAATTTTAGGCAGGACAAACTAGAATTAAAAAAAATAATAATAAAATAAATAAACTTTGAACTTGTAAGCTACAATAAAAAGCTTGAGCAATTCTTTTTTCTAAATGATAATGATTACTTGACTTACTCTAAAGCTCTAGCTGCTCCAAGTGCTATCCGAATACGAGCATTCCATGAGAGTCTTGTTTTGAAGTCATCATCTGAGTGGAGTGCATCATACAGTGACCCATTACTGCAGTACTCATAGATCAGAAGCCTTTGACCGTGCTCTGAACAGTATCCAACAAGCTCAACAACATTTGCATGGCGTATTCTGTCAATACTATTTACCAATTCAAGAAAATCATCATCCTTCTGATGATCAGAGGCTCTCTTGTCCAGTTTCTTCACAGCTAGAAACTAACAGTTTATAAAGGAGGAGGCTTGTGTCAAATATGAATCCAATCAAGTGATAGCACCAAGATTATTTTAGCAGGTGAAAGAGAAACAGAGATAGAATCAAGATTTGATAGATCAATATATGTATTTAGTCATTTACCATGTCATCCAAGAAATATCTCACAAATTATTGAATAAACAGTCTTACATAGCTTAAAGTTGTTCAAGAATCATGGACCTAACAGAGACCTAAGCAATTGTATTGTGTCAGCAAAAAGAAGAGGGAGCCATGGATCCATGGATACATATATACTTCATGTCAGGAAGACACATTCTCATATAAGATTTTAAGAGAAAAAAGTTCTAATGTGTGAAAAACACATTATCATGCAAGAATAATCATCAGAAAAGAAACTACAAACTGCACCAATAAAAAATTTCCATGCTTTCTACACTATATTTGATATCACAGACTAGAAACAAGAACATATAAGATGACAAAATGAATATCATCTGTTCAGCTGAAAGAACATTTGAGAGATGACCAGACAAAAAAGAAAAAAGAAAAGACAGCATCAATCACATTAATGTAACCATTATTGGCTATTAAAGGGTGATAGAAAATTAAGACAGACATAACATACTTAATGTAATTAATAAGCAACAGTCCTACCTTGCCGTTAGGAAGCTCTGCTCTATACACACTACCCAGCATGCCTCCTCCTATAAGATTTTCTTGAGAAAAACTATTTGTAAACTGTTGAAGGGATGCAATGGTGAAAAATTTTGCAAAAGTGGGAGGAGGAACTGAACTTCTTATGGATGGATTGGCATTAGTCTCTCTGCGGGATGTGGCTGGCCCCACAATCACCCTCTCAGTAGTAGGAGGTGGTGGAGGTGGGGGAGGCGGAGGTGGAGGTGGAGGTGGAGGTGGAGGTGGAGGTGGAGGTGGGGGTGGAGGAGGAGGCACTGAATATACTTCTAGTGCACTCATATCTATCTCATGATCTCTTGGCTTTGGTATTGCCTCCATTCTCTGCACATCCTTCTTTTGATCACCCTGTGGATTTGGATTAACCCCAACTCTCCTGGTCTCTGCTTGATGATTCTCTTTTGGCCTTGAAACACCCGCTACTGGTGCTGTTATTTATAATAAATTATAATTTTAAAAATTAAACGTTTAAATTGGATAATCCCTTCTAATGAATAAATAAATGTTGGGTAAATGATTAAACGAAGAACCAAGGTATATTTGCCTTTTTCCATTTGACTAGGCGGTTGGACTGCAGTCCCGTAATCCCTAGCACTTTGTCTTTCACCACCATATGTACCAATTTGATGTCGCTTGGACCTTCTGTCATCCCGTTCTCTTCTGCTACATCTTGGAATAAAGAGAATGAATCCTAGTAACAAAATAATGAATCCCAATACACTACCAATAGATATCCAAACCACCCTTTTTGTGGTTTTTTTGGATTTCCCGGTATGTGATTCATTTGCTGCAGTTGGTCCATCAGCTTGTTTAGTAGGTACACGGCCGCCAGAAGATGGTGTCCCAGAAGCCGGAGTTCCTGTCGGTGCCCCAGAAGCCGGAGATCCTGGTGGTACTATTGCTGGGGAGCGAGGTGAAGAAGCAGGAGTTGTAGTACCATTAACATTAAATGGGTTTCCAGCTTGTCTGCATTACAAATATCATCTTTAATAACTAAAGCTACAAAATAACTATATGTTCTTCAAATTCAAATTTCTGATGTGACCAAAATCAATTAATAACGAATGAAAAAACTTTAAACAAGGAATGAACACATCAATTTTCTCAATAGTTGCAAGATAATAGCAAGCTACAAGATAGCCAGAAAATATAACATAATAACAAACTCAAACACAACTCAGCCACATAAAATAACCCAAAACACCACCTTAAGTCCTGCTATTGCCAATCGGACAATAGTCTGATCGCCACTTTTTTAAATGTACCTTTGCATTAGCATTATCCTTTTATTTCCAATTGCTAAATATTATTATCCTTCTTCGGTATAATTTAAACTATGAAGTTCACACCATATGTAATTTAGCAGACCCAGAATCCCAAATTTAAAGCACCAGTATACACCACACAAGCTAATACCTCAATCAACCAGGGTGCAAAAGAAATGTATCTTATCTATTGCACAATGAATATTACAAATTGGAAATTATGTATAATCATGACTCTTGAGACTTATCATAAATAACATGTTTCTTTTTCGTGGCCAATTAACTAGAGGGAACATCTAATTGGTTATTTAACAGAGTTGCTGTGCTTCTGAAATTCTGCAGAAATATCTATGTCAAAATATCATTTATTGTCTTTCAGCCTTATATGTCCCTAATTTTGCTTAAGTGCAACACCACAAAAATCTGAAATTAACAAAATCATAAATTTTTTCAAGACAAGACAGTTCGAACCAACTAGTTCCATGTCCATCTTCACATTTTCTAATTCAAGATATCCTCCCATTTAAGCATTAAGAAAAAAATACATAAAGTCCTTGATTTTCATACTTACCTGAAGTTAGGGATGCTTAGTAACTTTGGAGGTATTGGGCCAGCAAACTGATTGTTCTCAACATTCCTGCACAAACAGGCGGGAAAATCATAAATTTAACGGAGAATCAAGTAGTATTAACATTAGAAAGATAGAGTCTAATCCTATATGCATTCTAAAAGCTCTCCAAATTTGGAGAGCTTTTAGAATGCATATAGGACTCCAGACCATAATGAAAACAATTATATAAATAATATATTATGAAAGAATAAGAGAAGTACAAATCTTTCAGAGGAAGGTCTTGTAACACATCAAGTGTCCCAGACAACTGATTGTTCTGTAAGCGTCTGCCAACAAGGAAATAGTGAGTTTGTGTGATATAGAAAATAGAAGGTCAGAACTTGATCTTACTGAGACAAAATACTAACAGGGTGGTCAGAGACGACAAGCTATCCATAGAAGGAGGCAATTCCCCGCTCAAATTATTATGAGATAAATCTCTGCACAACAGTTAATGCCTCCATCAAATATTTTTAATGTATAATGAAGCAAAGAATCTTCATCCCAATTGTCTAAAATAAATATTTAAAATGGGGCCGTACAGATTGATCAATTGTGTAAGTGACTGAAAAGCATCTGGTAATTCTCCACTTAAAAGATTGTTGTTAAGAGACCTGAAAGGAGAAGATTCAAATATAGTTTGGATGAACTTGCATAAATTTAACATCAGCTACCATACAAATTTAATTGAACAGGAGAAGCAACAAACTCACATGTCTGTCAGTCCAGTCAAAGTGGATAAAGAGATCGGAATGCTTCCAGTGAACTGGTTGGCTGAAAGAAAACTGCAAATACAATCCATCATGCCTTTTTGCACAAATCGTTGGAAATAGCTAGTATCACAGAGTTGGGTTATTACATACAAGTTTTTCAAGGTCACTGGCAAATTGGATGGAATATTTCCTCCAATGTTGTTGTTGCTTAGATCACTACATCCAGAATACATTGCAAACAGTAAAGAGGATGCAGAAGAAATTTGTTTGTACTATGAGAAGAATGACCACTGAAATTCATGAGCTGAGGAAAATGCAATGGATGCACAGACATGCACAAGTTCATGCATATGTGCATGCACACACACAGATAAATGCACAGAGAAAGAGAAAGGAAATTATATTTACATTACAGAGATTGAAACAAAAGTTGACAGTGTATCACCCAGTTCTCCTCCCAAATTTGCAGCATTTAGAACTCTGTCAAAAATAAGATGAAAAGAAAACTTCATCTAATTTGAGAGATGTCAATCAATAAATCAATATTAAGAGTCAAACCAAAGGGATAACAATATTACATACATTTTTTGTATGAATGATCCATTACACTGAATGCCTTGCCACCCTTGTCCACATGGATCCCCTCCACTAGCAACCCACCCAGGGAGAACAGGGGATCCCAATGAGATATACAAGTTATTAATTGCAGCAACTGATACAATTAGGAAATTTTAGAACTCCTATAGACTTCAGATACATAACATGATAAATGTTGAAAGTAGTAATTCATAAATCTTCTGTTCTAGTTCACAGCCACTCAATTAAGTAACCCTCCACACATCAATCACGACAAAACAAAACATTCTAAATATAGAACTACCAACATTCAATAACAGTCCAACAAGACATACAAAACAAACCACAAAAGTCTTTTCCCACTAGGTGACATCGGCTACATGAATCACACAACACCATTCAGCTCGGTTTAAGATCAACAGATCGGTTAGACATGAAAAAACAGGGCAAATAGTATAATTATAATATTAAACCAGGGACATTTCAAACATAACAGTTAACTGTAGACTAAATAGGGACAGCAACAAATTGCAATGCTTCAGTTTTAAAGGGGAAGTAGGCTATTAAGCCCAAAGTATTATCATAGAACACGTGAAATCCTGTTTGATTGCCAGTAGATATGAGAGAAGCACATAGCCTTCAACCACCATTGAGAAACACAAACAAAATATAATATTAAAAAAGAAGCCCCAGAAGATTGCACTATCAGCTAACCACTACACTTGGGTGACCTCAGACTCTTGAGTCATTCACGAGGGAGACCAAGCAAAATGCAGAAGGCAAAAGAGTTGGAATCCTTACCATCAGTGGGATCAGTGACTGCACTTGAAATCTGAATTGTGCAGATCAACAAAAATCCCAATAGAACTTGTCCATAGATCTCTACTCTCCCGCACTCCAAAGCAGATCTCTTCCAACCCATTGATCTCCACCTCAACCTTAATCTTCAGCACACTCCTCTCAGTGAACCCAATCACAGAAGCATCCTCCTAACAAAGAAGAATCAGGTCAACTCCCTTGAAGCTACTATCACCACCTCAATAAATCCAAAAATCCAACGCAAAAAAATAATGCACACCCCATGATTCCACAGACACCAAAAACATGCCAAAACACACCCCAAGATTAAAAAAAAATTAAAAACACGTTGATTTCAAGCATTAAACATGACCACTATGATAAAATCTGAAAACATAATAAAATACTGAAATGAACTTACTTGTAGAAAAATTAAATTAAAAGCATAACAAAGTTGGCAAATGCTGAGAAATTATTTTGAGATTGTACTAATAAGAATAAGTTACAGTTGTTGGTGGAGTGCTGAAGAAAAATAAACTTGGCGTAAAAGAGTGATGATAAAAGGAGTGGGAAGAGAAGGGAACGTAAGCACACATCGCATTGCATCAAAAAAGGGAATTTGGCTATAATAATAATAACAGTGATTATTATTAAAGTAATTGAGACTTGCATAGAACCCTAACCTTTGTAAAAGAAGAAGCTGGGAACAAAGAAAAGGCAAAGGCAAATTTGGAAAGGTACAATGACGAAGATTAAGAGATTGTCTGAAACTCTCTCTCTCTCTCTCTCTCTGCTGTGTCTCACTGTTATATTTCTCTCTCTTTCTATAAACAAAAGAAAAGGGTGTGCAAGAAACGAAGTCAAGTCATATATATCTATCTACCCTGTAAAGTTTTTTTCAGAATGCCAGTTATCGTTCCCACGCGCCCTCGTTGGCGCGTGCATTTTCATTCCATGAATAGATAGAATTTAAGATATTTGTAATCATAATCTTAAATTCTTATAAATACTTGTTTCTTGCTTCACTTCTGTCATGGAATACGTGTATATATGTACATGTTCCCCATTAATGGTGTGACTTTGTGTTGTGTCGTTGGAAATTATTCCAACCTTGAACAAGACATGAGAAAAAGGTAATTTGATTCCAACCTTTTTATCTGCTTCGTCATAGCACAAGTCAGTTGCTTCTTCAAATTAGTATATATTCTCACCCATAAAATATAAATTATCACACTCTGGATATATATTGTCATAAAATTAATAATAATAACTGTTCTTTTTAATTTATTTTATTTATCTATAAATTCCACAAGAAACTGGTTACTTCTCAGCTTTATATTAACTTTTATTAATTTTTACTTTATTTTTAAAATTAAATTACATCACTCTATAGACTTAATTTTGATCAAAATTTATTTTATGAAATCAGGATATAATTTAAAATTAAGCTTACAAACACAGACATTAAATGATTGACATTTAATAAACTATATTTGTGGTTTTTATTTTGTCATAGATTTAAACATTGAATGTGGATGAGATCACGTTTTCTAAAAAATTGTAGATGAATCAGATTGGTTATATTAGCAGTTTATAATGTACCGTTTCTTTCGAAATAGTACTCTACTCCATTAAAAGTTAAGATATCTTAAATTACAGTTCAAAATAAGAAATTATCGTCGTAAAATTACAGAAAAATGTCACACTAGTTCAATTAGCACACATGAAGTTGAGTAATAATTAGTTTATTTCTCCACCTATAAACCTTATAATATTATCGGAGTGATGGATTTAATAATCTTATAATATAAACATGAAACCTGAAAGAAATATGCAAATATGTAATATGTGATTTACGTAAACAATAGTGAGCATATCCATTTAACCCCAAGCGTGTGGTTCAGCGGTAGGGGTTGATTCACGCTTAAGCAAGGTCAGGGGTTCGAATCCTACCTTGCATATGCAGCCGTTAAATCTTGGGGCCAGCTATCCCACCCTTTGAGCAAGGTCAGGAGTTCGAATCTTACCTTGTGTATGCAGCCGCGTTAAGTAAGTACAACACAGATGATTGTTGCGTGCGTCCTCGTGGTGGAGAGTTTTCACTTGCTGCAGCTGCGCGTGGCGTGATGCTGCAATTTATTAGAATAATTAAACTATGTAATTTGCCAAACTGTAATTATTTTATTATCTATTGAAACTATAATTTATATACTCTTTCTTTAATTTAATAAGTAAATTAATAATATTTAATTTTCCTTTACAAAAATGCCAACAATCAAAGAAGATAGTAAAATTCAAATCTTCACAAATTAATATTATATTTTTAAAATACTTTTCTTGTTGTATGTATTAACTTTTATATCTTGACACTTGTTCTATAAAAATTACATATATCTATTTTATTTTAATACGCAAATCATATGAAAAATATTTTTGAAAAGTAATACAAGACTAATTATTATAATTAATATAAAAAAATAATTAAAATATTCAGATAATGTACAAATTTTCACACTATTGTTTGATTATAAATGATCATATAATTAAAATTATTAATATTTGTAATAATTACTTTAAAATTTAATTATATGTAAAATAATTTCTAATAATAATAGTTTGTCGAAAAAATAAATAAAAGTAAACAACATTTACTTGAAAGCAATAACAAAACAATAAATGTTTAATAATTGATCCTCTATCTTGAAAGTAAAACTGTGAGAGCCGTCAGTTTCTGAAAGAGAGTTTCACGTGCAGTATTGAATGATTGTTATGGGTTTCGTGATGCCTAATTTAAAAGCCCACTGAATTTTATGAATATCCACTTCTATAATTGGTTCGATACTGAATTTAATCATTATATATTTATATGACAACTTATTTATGATAGTCTTTGTTTTTTTTAAGAATTCATCCTCTTATTTTTTATGGATATGTATAAAGATAATTGTTGGAGTAATTAATATAGTAAAACAAACCGTATAAGCAACTGCGTTTAAGCTTTCAACTCGAAGGCTTTTGAGTTTCAATAACCATTGATTTTCCTGAAAACAATGATAGAATATGAGAAAATAGTGTCAGGGAACATGCCAGAAAGGGACAGAGACCACATTAATCAAGATAGTATATGATTTTGAATTATGAAAACATAATGACATAAATATGATCTTAAGAGAACTAATTATATTAGTAATTAAAAGTAAGTTTACAGTATAATATAAATTATTTTAATTGTAACATAATTTATATATTTAACACTATATTCTTAATTGAATCTGATACATTTGTTTGGGTAGTCCATAGTTTCATTTAATTTTCTGCTAAAAAACAATGGTGTTATTTTGTCACTTTCCTGTTTGTTTTCATGAAATAGTGAGTATTCGTTGGCAGCAAGTAGCAATGAAAAACGATAAGTATAAGCAGAATTTCCACGTCATTATTACGTGGGAGGAATAATAATAATAATAATAATAATAATTTGATTACGTTGGAAGATGAATGAGGAAGTCAAATTGGTAGGAAGTGACCGTTATTATGTTATGAAAATTGAAAAGGAAGAAGCAACGGAGAAAAAATAAGCAAAAAAGGTTAGCCATCTTTATCTCTTTAGTCTTTATGCCAAGTTGACACTAATCACGGAGCGTGGAATCTATGTGATGGCTACTCCTCCTATAAAACCCCTACGCTTATACCTGCATTACTTACATCTACACTTTATCAAAATTAATATAATTTCTCACTTCAATTAACACCTCATAAATGTGAATCTATACTTTTTTATTATATTTTACTCTTTATCGGAATCATGTAATTTCGTTTTTTTTTATTCCTTCTAGCTATCATCGAGTCTCTCAATTTTTTCCCATTTATAATTAAGATTTTCTATCATAATTTATTTTATTATTAGTTATACCTTCTAAATCTTTATTATATATAACTAAAATTTATAATAAATAATACATTTAGATATATAAATTATATTTAAAATTTGTATATATAAATTTTTTTAAAATATATAAAT